AGAGTAGGGTGCACTTTTCCATGTTACTCGCACCCACAGTTCAACTCTTTTAAAATGAAAGCTGTCCTTGCCTTTATAATGCTTGGGAGCAAAGAAGGGGGAACAGTGAACCCAGTGCCATGCAAGAGACTGAAGCAAGGCTGGAATAACAGCAAATAAAAAGGAAGAGAAACACTACAGCAAAGGCAGAGACTACAGGTTCTGAATATGTCATAAGAAGAAGGAAAAATGCCTTCTCTTTCCAGGTCCTGTACAAAAATAGATCTTCGTCACAGAGTTTAACACTGTTATATCAGGAAACTAGAAGGATTTACACAGTATCAAACAAATTTTGAGATATAATCCTGAACTCTTTTACAATAGGAAAAATTAGAATCAATTAAAACCAATGGAATTATCCCAGACCTATATATGTTACATTGTCTAGGACTGAAAGAGAGTATTTTTGCCATTTCTAGTCAGAAATTACTGATAAATAAAATAAAAAATATTTCTGTGAGTAGGCTGTTCCTCATGAGGCATATTTTTTTTGCATAATATTTCAGGAAAATACTGCAAAACTGTCCTGAAAGGACATTTCAGCTCCTTTTCAGAAATAAAAGGCATAATTTTCCATTAAAACAGGTGTTTTCTTCCATTATGAAATGAAAAAATACAACTCAACAATGCAAAATAAATTGAAGAATGGTTTTCTTTTTCTTCCAGTTGGAAATGAATGCTATTTTCAGTATTAAATTTTCATAGAACAAGAAATCTATTTCCTATGAAGTACTAATAAAGACAAGTATATGACTAATCAATCTTATTTGTTTCAATGCCATCGTCTTTGACATAAAGAAATGCTCTACTTCCAAAAGCTCTAATTTTTTATGTCCCTTAAGACTATATCAGCCACATGACAGTTTTGGCAGTGTGCTGTGTTATGTGGTTTGATTATGCAGCAAAATTTAATAGAATTTTCATGTTTAGCATATGTTTGGGTTAGTCCACACATTTATTGAACAGCTCTGTACATAATTATATAATTAATTAATAATATAATTAAACAATTTACATGTTGTGCAGGTAAATCCTTTAAGTACCATATTCAGATTTTATAGTCTTTTTGATAGGCATAATCTTCTATCTTACTTCTGAATGGGATCCAGTAGTGGTACAGCACAGGTTTCCCTGCACATTACTGGAACACAACTTATTTAACTGTATTACTTGATGAAGTTTGGGGAAAATGCTGTTGCCAAATTCCGGACAAATTCTTCGAATAATCCTGAAAAGATGACCAAAATATTCCTGGATTCTGTTCACACTTGACCACTTTACTTCTAAACCAATCTACAAAATTTTTCAGAAAATTTCCCATATTTTAGGGAAGAAGTGAACAATTTGCTTGTTGTGATCCTTTCATTTCCAAATGACCCCAAGATCATATGTTAAGTGGTACAAGTGAGAGGTCAAATGAGATTGCTTACAGAATACAGCAGACATCACATTGGATTAGAAAAATGTCAGCCTAGCTTGCTGTATCATTTCTGACAATTTTAGCAGCAGGCTCACAGGTGTTCTGTGACTGTAAGCCAAATATAACCCCCTTCCTTGGCCCTACAGGACTTACAAGCCTGACTGAGGTCTCCATGTACTGGGTTCTCCATGTACAAGGTTTTGTTGGGGAGGAACTTCATGGGCAGCTTCTGTAAGAAGCTCCTAGAAGATTCTCCCATCTCTGACAGAGCCAAGCCTGCCAGCTCCAAGATGGAATCACCACTGGCCAAGGCCAAGCCCATTAGCACCACCAGTAGCATCTCTGGGATAACAGATTTTAGAGCAATTGCAGCCAGACCCTGTGGGAAGCCCACACTGGAGCAGGTTCCTGGCAGGACCCATGGAAGAGGAGCCCACACTGGAGCAGATTTGTTGACAGAACTTGTGAGCCCATAAGGAACCCATACTTGAGGACTTGTTCCCAAAGACTGAACCATGTGGAAGGGACCCATTCTGGGGTAGTTCATGAAGAACTGTAGCCTATGGGAAGGACTGAGGTTTGGATATGTTTGTGGAGCGCTGTCTCCAATGGATGGTATCACACAGGAAGAATGTGAGGAGTCCTCCCCCTGAGGAGGAAGGAGCATCAGAGAAAATATGTGATGAACTGACATTCCCTGTTCCCCTGGGCAGCTGCAGGAGGAGGAGGCAGAAAAAATCGTGAGTAAAATTAAGACCTGGAAGAAGAGAGGAGTGGGAGGAAGGTGTTTTAAGATTCAGTTTTATTTTTCGTTAACCTTCTCTGATTTGGTTGGTAATAAATTTCCCCCTACTCACATCTCCTTTGCCTGTGACAGTAACTGCTTAGTGGTCTCTCTGCCTGCCCTTCTTTCAACCCACGAGCCTAAAATTTTTATTTTTATTTTCTGTTGTCTGCCCAGCTGAGGAGAGGAGTGATAGACCAGCTTTAGTGGGCATGTGGCATCCAGCCAGGATGACCCCTTCACACACCAGTGAACAGCTCACTGAAGTTTATTTACAACATTAAAACAAGTCCACACATGCAGGTCTTTCTGGTGGATGCACAGAAGAAAATTAATGGAAGATCAGTTTGTCTCTTCCATTTAGCTCTGCTTATCACTGATACTGGAAGTTTCTGTGGTCTGCTGCTAATTCTTTTAACTGGCACTTCATAATTACATGGTCATACATCTGTTATTTAAGATAGGTGGTTGTCCTTAATGGCTCTTAATAAAATTAGGACACCCCCTTCTGGAGGTATTACTTATTTAGTAATCTCATGATATCTCTGTAATATTTTTGATTCACTCCCTCTGATCCGACTGTTCCTGCCAATGCTGACTGCCACGTGGCAAAACAGTACCGTTGTCGCTTCCAATTACGCTGGCAGGAGCTGAGCCAAGGGCTGTGGGCCTAATGAGGTGTACCCAACCAGGAGCAAAATGCAGTTCCACTTCTATTCCCTGGGTGACAACTATTTTGTGAGAGCAATCCATACCTGGTTACCTTCAGAAGTGGAAATAAACATGTGCGCATAATTGCAGTGTGATTTCCTGCCCTGCCAGGGTGGGGAGGGAATTGGGCAGCCACGAGAAGCATGGGACAATCCACAGGCCGAGCCATTGAACACGTTCTGCTGCTGTGATAGCAGCATCTGTCTTGGCTAGTTAATACTCTCGTTTGTAGCAAACAAGAAGGGGCATTAGGCTTGCTTCTGCAGGTGTGAAAAGCAATCAAAACCTCCCACTGACTTGAGGGAGAGAGCACAAGCAGGCGCTTTGCAAGGACACAGTGCTGCTGAGTGCTCTTTAGATAAGGCTACAGCAAGAGCTCTGTTAGGAAAACAGACAATAAAGAGAAGCAGAGCACTTAGGCTGGGATTAATTTTACCTACTTTAACCATCTAAAACTTTAGTACCTGACATAGATTATTCATTTAAACTCTCTCTGCAAAGGAGGCATGCAGTTCAAGAGGCTGATTAATCCTTTCTGCTCCATCAGCAGCATATAGGGGTGTCTTTTACAGAATTAGGGTGATATAGTCTCCCATAAACAGGTCACAAACTCTCTGGATGGCCACCAGCAACAAAAATAGTTAAATCCTTTGGAAATGACCTGCAATCTGACTTTAGTTAACAAGCAGAATATTATGCTTTCCATTGCCTTTAACTGGATATATATTAGTCCACAGTAGCCAAGGAATAAAATCATACTCTCAGAGGACCTGGTAGGACTATTTTATGCAAAAAAATTGTTTAAATCCAATAAACTATGGAATTGCATGGGGGCAAGCAAGCAACGATGAGAGTAAAAAATATCTTCCTGTTTTGTCTCTGCATTTCAGGTTTGATCTTTCCTGACAATCTACCTATTGGCACTTGATGCTGTGACAGTACAGGTTTGCCAGTCCTTCTCTCAAACTAAAATTCTCTCTTTGTAGGGAGAAAACAACAGGAATGAATGGAACCTAATCCACATAAGATACAGAGAAATTTTTGGGTGCCTATTATATCTTGTGAGATAAAAGCTCTGATCAAGCCTAGAAGAATTTGACAAGGATATGTTTGACAGGTTCCAAGTAAGCCGACCTTTTAATAAATCACATTTACCATCCTAACTTACTGAGTAGCACTGAATTTGAATAAGTGGTGCATGAAGGGCATTGAGACAGGCTTCATGCACAAAGTTTTATTAGTGGGGTCTGGAGGTGAATATATATATACCAACCTCCAAGTTTCTAAAGGTGTTAGAAACAATGGGAATAGAATGACACAAGCAGGGGGAAAAGGCAAAGAAGGCTTCCCCCTGTGACCAGCTGGGAGTCATTGCCAGGCAAGCATTCCCCTCTGCGGTCTCCCTCATAACAGCAGGTAATATAATAGTGATGGCAGCCATCCTCATGTTCATGCTCATGTTCATCCTCATCCCCCAGCACTTCATACCCACATCACAACTTCTGGCAGATCTAATGGGCTGTTGCCATTTGTGCTGCTCTTCATGCTGACTCTGGCACACTTAGCTGGACACAGGCACTGCACACAGACTGGCACAAAGCTTTGGTGTGGATGTTTCACTGGATAATCCTGACCAGGCATGTAGGTGACCACTGCCTGCTTTGCTGTGCTCTAAGCTTTGTGTTTCTGTCATAAAAACTAAAATTCATAAGATGAGCTGTAGCAAAGGTGTAGGAAGAAATTCTCCATGCCAATGGCAGCTGCATCCTGCAAGAACTGTCTATATGGGCTTGAAGGCACAAGAACATGAGGCCAACCCTGTGTGTCCAACAGAATAAAACAAGTGACAAACTGCCCTCACAGCTCAAAGCCCTGCCACAGGAGCCCTGGTGAACAGTTACAGTGAGCTTTGAGCAAAGGCAGCAAACAGAAAGCGTTCAGCTTCACAGTGATTGCAGCACGTAAGGCACTGTGCAAGAGGAGAATGTCTTTTGGCTGTAGAATTCTTTATTTCAGAATTCCTCTTCCTTAAAGCAAAAATCCCCATCCCATTGTAGCAAACACATTATGTTACACAATTCTGAAAAATGCTGTAGTTTGGCTTACAAAGTTTCCAAACAACAAATGTTTATATTTTATATTAAATTGACAAAAGTGTCATATTTTCTTTCCCTTAATATCAAATTTTAAGTCTATTTTTACAATGCTTCCAATTTGTTGAAAGTAAAATTAAACCTGGAAAAGTATTTGCCACTTTCACTTCAGGACTTAAAAATCAAATCATTGAACTGGAATCAGCTTTAATGAAATAGCTCTTTTATAATGTGAAAATATTAAAGTATCTCTTTGAACCATATTCTACACAGCCTTTTTTCTTTCTCAGTGATATGTTTTTCACTTCATGCTTCACTTTAACCACCTGCATTAAACTTGCACCTTCACACATAAACATCCTGGATTTTATTGTGATATTCTTTTTCTTCTGATAATGTCCTCTTTCTTTCATTCCCTATCTTCTTGTCAAGTTCTCTTTTACTTCTTTGTTGCACTCTCACTCTCTTCTTTTCTTTTGCAATATGTCCAAGGAAAAACCTGGAATAAAACTTTCAAAACAGGCTGTCTACATGTGTCATGGATATAGGGATCTTTCAAGGCTTTTTAATTTCCATGAGAAATCAGAGCAGCTTGTATAATCTGTTTGAGGACTATGCTCCCCAGTGTAATCCTTTGGCCCACAAGAATAAAGTTCTTCCTTCTCACTCAGTAGAGAGACAAGGACTCCAGATCCATTGTCTTCCTTTAGAAAATACAGGGCAAAGGTAGGCTCCTCTTCCCTTAAACATTTCAGATTTTCTCCCTAGAATGTCCTAGATAATGGAGAGAGAGATGGTCTTTGGTTAGTAGGTAAGGAAATAATGACTGAATCAAACTATTCCAACCTTGAATTGATAATTGAGTTCTTGGATACTTCACAGAATGAGAAACTCCACTTTGGTGAGGAAGCCTAAAGTCAACGGCACGGGTTGGTGCCCTGATATTTGCACAGGTTGCATGACATGTATGCTTTGTCAGTCAAATACTCTTCACTGAGAGTCAAAATCTAACGCCTCCCTCAGACACAAGATGACACATTTCTGGAACACCCTTCTGTGGGATCTCAGCACCTCAGGACTGAGGTGCCGAGCCACCGAGACCACCCTTGGGGGGCTCGGGAGTCCTGGAATGTTGCCAGAAGTGTCTGATGGCTGGACTTTGATCCTACACAGGAGATGACACCTGTATGAGGATAGGAGGACTTCACCGGGGTGAATGGTGAAGGGATTAGTTAATTAGAGGGTGAGACACAGGGTTTAGGATTTATGTACAGGGGGGTTTAGAGAAGTAAGATGGAGGAATTGGGGCGTGTCCTGTCCTTCTTCTTCTTCTCCTCCATCTTCTGTGATGATGGTGGCACTTTGGGATTGGTCATTACTGAAAGTGCACCGGACAATAAGAATAGAAAGGATTGGGGAAAAATGATAAATATTGTACACGTAACAATGGGTATAAAGATAGGTGACTGTCCGGAGGGCAGGACAGAGTGTGCTCATGGCTGGCTGCTGAGCAGACCTCTGTCGGGCCGAGAGAAAATCTTTTAGATAAACAATTAATAAACACCGAGACCAAGAAAAGAACGGAAGCCTCTTCTCGTCCTTTGAAACGCGGGCTGCCCCAAGGTCACCCTGGGCCTTTCCAGGCCATCCAAACAGCCAAAAACCGGACACCCTTCCTTCCATGTTTCTTCACAAATATTCTCTCCTTTCAACCATGTATTTCTAACTTCTTATGCTGGGCCCTGAGTGTGAGGAGAAGACCTTTACTGTGTTTCTACTCCTACAAAAAGCACTCAGTCATCATCAGTCAACTTACCTGGCCATTATCCACTGTGAAGACACAATGCAAATAAAATCTGCCTCTGCTTTTTTACAAGAAAGAATGCTTCCTTCTCAGTCCTATGTTAAAAAAAAAAAAAAAAAAGAAAAAACAGAGAGAGAGGGACATGGCAATTTCCAATTAGCAGCCTCTGTATTCCTCTGCACTCAGTGTTTAAAATAAGTTGATTGAGATTGTAGACTGTGCACATAGTGATAATATTGCTGATGCTGACTTTGCAAAGTACAACTGTGTCCTTTATGAAACACTCATCCTTGCCTGGAGCAAGAGGCAAAGTAAAACTATGGAGAAACTATCAAGAATCAAGAGAGCAGGGGAGTGCCAAGTGTCTGCAAGTATACAAGTACCAAACTAAGCAGAATTTACCTCACCACCCACAGTATGGCAACAGAGAAGCCCTGCTCATCTGTAGTAGGGCTTAATACAGATGGTATGCAATGCACCTATGTACTGCCAGCTTAAAACAGGAACTTTACTGTGCCTCTTAGTGGATGTTTGGCATGCTGCAGGGTCTGGTATCATGATTTAGGTCATGGCCATGATGAGGGCTCAGCACCTGTTTCTGTGATCAGTCTCTGCCCCATGGCAATAGCTTGCTCAGTCTTTCTCCTCACTCACAGGTATTCTAGGTGAGCAGACTTCATGCCAGGGATCATCATCAGCTATGCTGGCTCACTTACTTCTGTAAGGCAAAACCATGAATATCAGCAAAAGCCAGCCACAGAAACAGTCACTGACTAGAAGAGGTTAGAAATTAGCACCTGGAAACTCATGTGACAGCTGCAAGAGACAATGGGGAGAAGGAAAGGTGCTGATATGCAGAAAAGATGTCTCCAGGTGATCTGGTCCAGCCAAAACGGAAGATGAAACTTGAAGCTCTTGCCTTCAAGTTCACCCCTGAGCAGCCAAAGGATCCCATGAGCCTTTTGCTCAGCCACTGCCACTGTGCTGCATAGGCATGTAATCTTTCTGCTGGAGATGCCAGCATTCCAAATGTATCATTCCCATGCATCATTCCAAATGGCTAGTGCAGGAAATATTTCTGCCTGTTTATGCTTGCAAATTTTCCTGTTCTACTGGGTGTTCAGACAGGCTCACAAAAGCAGCTGAAAACGAATTAACAGGAAAATTGCTCTGCACACTGGAAGATCAGAAAGAAAATGCAAAAAGAATGATACACATAAATGCTGTGTTTGCTGTAAACAAAGAATTGTGTTTTTCTTTTCATATCCTGAATGACTCTAATAGGGCAAGGCAAAAAAAAAAAAAAGAAAAAAAGAAAAACAAAAAGAGGAGACAAGGAAACAATTCTCTTTTGAAAAGGGATAGCACATACTCTCCTCTGGACCATCCTACATCTCAAAATCAACATAAAATGTCACCTCTTCCAATTGATAGAAAGTTCCTTGAAATGAAAAAGAGACTACAGAAAAGTAGTGCAGACTACAGAAAAGCATTCACGTGAATGACATCTCAACAACATGACATTCATTTTCATTGAAACAATTGAGGAACTATTGTATTCATAAAAGATTCACATACCAGAGCATTTATGCTCAGGAAATTTAAAGGAAACTAGAAAACACTCACAGGAACAAGAACATCTAAAACTGAAGGATTCTTTCACTACAAATAATGATTATGATAGTATAAATCTTTTCAGTTTTAAGTGATCTAACTGAGAAATTTCATAAAGCTTTTGAAATATTAATAAATGTTTAATTTTCCAATATATATGTGAAATAGTTAAATACTGGTTACCTTTCAGGTAGAGGAAACAAGTGTAGTTGATTCGCTGAGTCCTGCTAAGATTGAAAGCTTCTCAGACCATAATTTATTTACAAAGTAACCCTTTGGTTCTTTCCTTTCATCAGCCCCCTTAAACTTTGAAGGTAAGAAGAAATACTAGAAAACAGGAGAACACATGGTTATTCCTTCATTCTTTCAAAAAAGAAAACCAAAACAAAACAGCATAAATTCCATCAGATTTCATTAAAAATCAATTATTTTAATGGTCCGGTGTTCATTTCTGCAGAAGAGAGATAAACTAAGTATCCTTGGTATCTGCCCAAAGGGAATATTTAGATTATCTAAACTGTTACATTAGCAAGAGTTCTATGAGGCAGCCAAACAAGTGGTTTATATGCACAATGCTCCCTCTATACATGTTATCTTGCAGGGAGCTGGGTAAGGCTCTAAACTTTAATGTAGTCATGGTTCCACAAACATAAATGCTGCTGAACAGTCACAACAATTCACAGCACTGCATTTTTCACCTGCAGAGCATCAAATGCATTGGGAGCTGTGCAAGTCCTACTTTCATTTCAGAGATGGGAAAACAGAGCAGCCAGAGATACACAGCAGCTGAGAAGAGAATGCAGCCCTGATAACTTCCCGTGATGGCACAAGCCCAGACTTGCAGGATTTAATTTTCAAATTTAACTAAGAAAGCTAAGTGAAAACTCTCTGTGAGGGAAGGGGAAGGAGATGGGAGGAGAAAGATACATCAAGCAGAACACTACTGAGGCTGGCTCCTCTAAGATCAGCTTTATCTCGCCCATGATATGTGTAAAATGGGATGTGTTGAATGCCAGCCAATGTCTTGTTTTGGACTATAGTGTTGCATAGATGAGTGATTCATGTTTTCAGCACACTGAGAAAACATGTGGTCATATCAGTGTATTTTAATCTAGCAACACTGGACAGCTTTCCCCCAGACAACTAAAATCTACCTCCTTCATTTTAACTAATCCTCTGGGCTAAGGAGCCAGTCTTTCCCTAAATAGTCCTCTCCAGGACACACCTCCATAACTCTTTAAGCCAGGCTGGGGTTTGCTGTGGACAATGAACCTTACTGAGTGCATTGATACCAGTTCTGTGAGATTTGCAAGCCACACAAGTCTTCAATTTGTTTAATTCAAATATTAATGTATAGTCAATGTTATATTAATATATGGTTAATGTTAACATCCATTTACTGAGTTTTACAACCACAGGTCCACCACAACCATCACTGACATTTCAACCACAGGTTCTCACAAAATGTGGAGTAAAGACATTCAACATCCAAGAGATATCTGTAAATTGAAGCATCCAATAACATAACCTTGCCACTCTGACAGGAATTATCATTGGTTTGCTGCTAATGAGCATCATTAGAGTGCTGAAGGAGCTAGCAGTGCAAGGTCACTCTCCATCATCATTATAGAATTGTGGCAGTTGAGGGAGGTGTCTAATTACTGGAAAATTTCTTATATTACAATTTTTTTCCAAAAAGACAGGAAAGAAGATGTTTTTAAGTACAAAAATAAACATCAGGGTTTATAGATTCCTGTTCGCTAGAAAAACTCACATCACAACAAAACCAAAACCCCCAAAAAACACACAAACTTATGTACACAAACACTCAAACCTGTCACAAGTTTCAGTTTCATGGATCCTACATCCAATCTTTCTGTTAGAGAAACCAGCCTGGTTAACCAGATGGAATGCCAGCATCACCACCTGAGTTAGCACACTAATGCCTTTTGGACTAAGCTGGCAGAAGGCTTATATTCCATGCACTGAAAAGCCATGACAGAAATATTTCCTTCAAAAAAGTTTGATGGAAGCTTTGTAGACTTCTTTGCACATTTCTCGGTCCACATCACAGGCCCCTTGCTCACAACCAGAAGTTACTGTGCACAGATGGTTCCAAAAAATGAAACCAATGGTTGTCCATGATGGCGTCACTGTAGATTTTAAGTGTATTGATACTTTAAAGGCTGTTGCAAAGTAAATATCCAAAGGACTAAAAATAAGAGGTCTTTGTATAACCAAACACATGGCAGTTTTTAAACACAAGACTGTACCTTTTAAATTTATGCAACCAAAATCGGATTTTGCTACAGACAGTAATAGTAATTATCATACATTTTACTAACACAAATCTCCTGTTGGACGTTTTCATTGTTTGTCCTCTTACCATTTTCAATTCAAGGATAATCCTACAGATTGAGCACTGCAATAAGATGCTGATTAATGTTTTACATCCAGGAAGAGAATAACTCTAGTCCTGTGTGAGCCGGTATTGTCTGGCTTACACAGCCAATATCAGATGTTCTCATTAAAAGCAATACTGAAGTCATACAATTTATTGTCCCAGCCATTAGCTATTGGCAGCTAAAACCTCAAATATTGCAGTAATAATTGCAATATTAATTCACAGACAGACCAAAATATATGAACTTATGTATCAATTGGGAAAGCAATCCAGCTACCTCAGAGAGACTAATATGAAGCTCTGAGATCAGATGAGGACCCAGAAGATCATCTAAGGAGAGCCTGTATAGTCAAAGTTCTTGAACTTTTGACATAGTTCCCATTCAGGACTGTCTAGAAATGGGATGTGAAGAGAACAATTGTGATCCTGTGAAATTCATGAAGAAATGATGAGAAATATGCTAAAAATAAGTCCTTTTCTCAGGATGGGTACATTGCAGGATACAGAAATCTGGTCTGAGCTTTAAAGCCAGCTGCACTTAAGACGATGTTTTGACTTCCAAATCTTTGTTCTGTCACTTGTGGATATTTCTTGTGGAGTCTAAGGAAGTTAAAGTTGATTTGTGGGTAATATGTCAATAAATAAAAAATAAGTGATCAATGACCCAATCATGAGTATATATGCAAACGATGTTAAATAGATTTCTCTCTTTTCTCTTTACACACACAATCTGTATGCAATTTATTTACAGATACACACTGAATATATAAAATCATTAAATATACACTGTAGGTACATAACGTACATGCATATTCACTACATAACTCAATAATATTTACAAAAACATGAAACTGGGACTGAAATAATTAAAAACCTAGAAATCAAATATTTTAGAGCTCATGTTGAAGCAGATGTCTGGCTTTCCTCCACATATGGCAATGATGCTGTCTGTGGGGTAGATGGAGAACATCAGGTGTCTCAGGGATTAAGAATCTCTCTGTAGCTAACAATTGAGAAGCTCTGAGGAAAGGTTTACATTCCAGTCTTCCCCTGACCTTCGGCATCTGACACAAAGTTTTTGGAAAGGAATGCTCCACTTTTAACCAATAAATTATTCTGAAATTCTGAAATGGCAAGTATCATTTACATCACTTCTTTTTCCCTTCTCTTCCCCCCTTAAAGAGGGCATCTAATTCTGTTCTGAATGCCCAGCTGCATACCAAGTGTTGAATGGGGCTTGCACAATGTGACATGCCTTCATGAATTGGCAACTGGCAGGCAAAGTAAGACTATTTTACCTCCCATGCCCTTCACTAGTGCAGTTAAAATGAATACAGATGGGTATTTAAAACAATAATAGACATCCCTTTTTAGAGAGTGAAATCCCACTGGTGGTGATGGGAATTAGGTATTGGTCTTTAATGTTCCTCTCAGCTGACAGAGCCCATTTGGCTTTGTGATAAGTTTTAGCATCCACATATTTGACAGGTCAGTTTATTTGAATGCTCTTTGCTTTAAAGGTACTTTTTATTTTCCTGTTCATCAGTGCATTTGCTGCACCAAACAAGGCTCATGCATTTACTTGCTTATGGCTCAGTACAAATGGAAGCATAAGGGATAATTGTAAGAGAGAGTGATTTAAACAGGAGGCATCTCTGAATCCAGGATGGAGTTATGCTCAGAAACCTGCACATCCCTCATTTGCCACAGGGTGGAAACAATCTCAGGAATGCGTCTTCATAACATTGCTGCAGCAGCTCAAATGCAGTAGTTAGGTGCCATATGCTGTACACATGGAGGCAGATGCAGCTGATAGCTTCAAACAGCTCTGAACAGAGCACATGATACAGCTTCAATGCTTTTTTACACCCAAGAAAACAGCACGGATCCTCAGGTGCTTTTCTAATCTAGTATTTAAATATTTATAAAATATTTATAAAATTCCATGTAAAACATGTTGTTTCAAAACAACCTAGATAAGTGTAAAGAGTTAGTGTACTAATAAAAGGAAGAAGAGTTTAGATCCTCAAATGCATTTAAACACTTAATGCCCCCAGGCATTTCTCTCCCATTAGATTTTGAATGGACGAATTAGGACATAAACTGCTTTTCTGAGCTCAGGCCAGAGGATTTCTCTCCTGCATCACTAATTTGGGAAGATTTTCTAATGATCAAAGACAAATATATCTCTAAAAAATACTTTTGATGGTGGAGAGAGGAGATGGCATAAGACACATCCCTTTTTTCTCTCTACTGACTTGAATAACTGATTTGAAGGCATGCACAGAATGCTCCTGTTCCTCCCAAATAAGGGACTAGTTAAACTCATTTGACTCGAGGCAGTGGTGTGTCTTGCAGTGCAACAACCCACTCCTGGTGAGCCAAGCCAGCAATCTCTGAGTTCTCTGTTCTCCCCGCTTGCTAAAAAGATAGAAGATTTCTATCCCCTGGAGATGCCAATCTAGCAATCTTGAAATCTCTTAATATTCATATTGGGATAAGAGAATATTTAGATTTGTCTGTCATGTCTGGTGCTTTCCTACTCCAGCTCAGTCTTTTTATCCACAGCTGTCTGTGGATTCTTCCTGCTTTTCCTTTTACATGACATAGGTGTAAAGCACTTTTATTTTGAGAATTGTGTTCAGTTTGTATTTTAAAGCAGATGGCATTTCCAGTGCAACATCAGGGGGCTTATTATAGTCAGGAGTTTTCTCTGGGAAAACAGCAGCTTAGTACCAAATGAGCTGATCTGAAGCCTGTATGAAAAAACCTGTGGCTTCAGAGCTCTCCCATTTTTGGTGTTGGCTGCTTCAGAGGAGCTTTGAAGCATTTACTCCCAGGGCTAACATCAGACCCATCCTTGAAGCATCCTTGCAGTACAAGGGAGCCCTTTGAGCCAGCGTGCTGCCACTGGTAT